GGTGATACGTATAATTCTACAGGATCTAACGAAAGAAACTAAGGAAAATTCCACCTCGCCCTCCTTCTCCAGAGCCGGAATTCGGGGAGACGGGCAAGAGAATCGTGAATCGCCGCTTCGTCGCGGTAATGGTAGCGACGTTTCCTTAGCCTGCACTACGCTCTCAACTGGAACATCGGATTTCATGTAGACAAGGACATGGTAGACATTATTCACTCTATCGTCTATTTCGGTCATACACTGTCTATTCTCGACCAGCACCACCTACAATCGTCGTCATCACCGGGCGCCCACTGGCGCGGCGAATTACTCTCTTGCCACATCTTGTCTTGCCACATACCCCGGAATTTCCACCAGCCCAAATTATTGTTCAACTTGCGATGTGATATTCAAAAGAAATGGGAAAGGAATAGGTGACAGTGCACTTGTGTGTGGGACGTACGACATCAACTCGCTGCCTTAGATAATAGAAAAACCATAAACTTACCACTAGAATCCTCGCTGGTGCTGCTTTCACTTCGTCGCCTTTTGTGATGTTTCCTTTCCTTCTTTGCTACTTCTTCTTCCTTCTCTACTTCTGCTACACGAGGTGCAACTGTCGTGCTCGGTTTTGCCTAATTATAACTGTTCTCGATTTATCACAAAAAAGCTGTAAAGCACCGGCGATAAAACAAACCTTTTGTTCATCCCTTACCCATGGCCTTGAAACCTTTGCATACCACTCTTGCACTTTGTTCAGCTCATTGGTGCCTTCAGCAAAGCACTTCTGGATGCCCAATTTAGAATCGAATTCCTGAACATACCACATTGGTTGCTGGGAGATACTTGTTTCATCCAATATTTGGGATGAAATAATTAGACCACAAAGCCAGCTGTCCACTTACCTGTTGCTCCTTTCGCTTTTCCTCTTCATACTCTTTATTTCCTTGGCCAAAATTGTTGCGTTCAGCAGCTTCGAGATCCTGCAAAGGTGGGTTTGTTCAGGTTCAAAATAAATCTGATAATGGTCGTAAGATCTAACCTGGAAAAGATTAACATGACCAGTCTCTGTAGAAATCGACGCTTCTGCTGAAGCCCGTAAGGTGAAAGGTTCCAAGTCAACAGTTCTGAAGATCAATTAACTGACTTCAAGGTGATTTTGTAACCTGACATTTTTTCAAGGCACAAGTGGAGAAGAATTAAATGAAAGATCTCGTCTTGATCATGGCGACTATGTAGTCATACGACCGTCGATCAAAGTTCTGCGGCAAATGAACAAGACCACCATAGACTCACTTCTTCGCCGCTTGAGCTCGAAGTGCTTCCAGTCGTCGCTCATTCTCAGCTTTAATCGCCCTGTCGAGTCGATTCTGTTCCTCTTCGGCTGCTTTCGCTTCGTCTCTTCGCACTCTGGCTATGTTCTCCCTCGTTCGCACATGCCATTTCTTTTGCGGTAAGATGTTCATTGGACCTACGAAATCTAAAGAAAATTTCTCGAAAACTGTCAAAATCCTTTGAGGTTCACCCACACAATGCATTCTTCGCGCTTCGAGCGATTCTGTTGCTCTACGCAAGCGAGCAACTGAGCCCCACTGCTAATCGTTGGACCGCTGCAACTTCTTACTTGGTCATACTTGTCTTAACTTGTACGATGATGAAAAATAGTGCTAACTCAGTTCATAGGGGCTACGCGACGTCGCGTCTGTGTACCTTCCAGGCTGTTTTGGCAGAGCGCAGACGACCGTAGTCCTGACGTCACTTCTCGCACAGTATCGTCGCGGCGTACCGCTTACGAGAAACCACTGAGAAAATGTTTCATCCTATCTTACGTGGTCATTCCTGTCCAATTCGAGGTAACTAGTCAAAAAAGGGTCTGACTTAGTCCAGAGAGGCATGCGACGGCGCTATGCGTGCCTTTCCCGCCGTTTATTCTTAGCAAAGCGCAGACTAGCAGACCAAAGGAGACCGAATATTCCTATCTCAC